TTTCCTAACAAGTTAGCAAGCACTTCCAGAAGTAGCTAATACAAACTGAGAGACAGTAGCAGATTTTCATGATCCTAATTTTGATTTATAACATCTACCCCACTTTATATAAAATAGTTATTAATAATCTACATATTTCACTAAACATCATTTTTGCCTATTACATTGATATCATACTGTTTTCATATGGTGAGAGGGAAGTGGTAAATAGTAAAATATACGTGTGTCGGGAATTGAATAAGATTTCAAACATTAGAGCTTTGGTACTATAATGAAATTCCATCCAATTGTCAAGAACAGTGCTAACTAAATCGTGTTTCAAACCTATACATGCATGCACACATATTATTTGAGTTTTTTTTTTTTTTCCATGACACACATGATTCAGTAGAGCTTGTTCTTTAATTATTCAAAAGCTACCAGATAAGGCGAATGCTAATTGGTGGAACCACACTTTAAGGGAGAAGGAATTAAGTTTCTAATCTTAAAAACAACTTGAGGCTGGCACTGCTGCTCACTTGGCTAATCCTCGGCCTGAGGTGCTGGCACCCTGGGTTCTAGTCCTAGTTGGGGCGCCAGATTCTGTCCCGGTTGCTCCTCTTCCAGTCCAGCTCTCTGCTGTGGCCCGGGAGTTCACTGGAGGATGGCCCAAGTGCTTGGGCCCTGCACCTGCATGGGAGACCAAGAGGAAGCACCTGGCTCCTGGCTTCAGATCGGCGCAGCACGCCAGCCGTAGCGGCCATTTGGTGGGTGAACCAATGGAAAAGGAAGACCTTACTGTCTCTCTCTCTCTCTCTCTCTCTCACTGTCTAACTCTGCCTGTTAAAAAAAAAAGTGATGCATATTTTATCCATTTTAAAAAGAAAGAGATACAATGAAGGTTAATTAAGTCTCTGAATTGTAGAAGAAAATTTGAATTGTATTTATGTAGCCATCAAAACAGTTGTCAAGTAAATTTTGCAATTGGTAATCCATAGGGATTCCATAATCTAAAGAAAATTGTGCAAACACAAAATGTCCAATGGTGTTCCAAGCATTTCCATTGAATACGATGAAAGGCTCTCTGGCAAGCAATTCTTAAGAGGAGAATCATGTCATATATCATGAATGTTGAATGTTTCTGAGCAGCATATTCTCTGACTAATAGATAATATTTAGGAAAGCAGGTTAGGTATCATGCTTGAGACTTGTTAGAGAGTTTATGCTGTAATTGAGATTACAAATGATATTTGTTCAATGAAACATCTTATGAATGGCCTTCTATTTTCCTGCAAAATTGGATGTGATGAGAAAATGGACTTATGAAACAGAAGTGAGACAGCACACAAATACTAGTTTTATGATCACACTACTGAGACTCTCATAACACCTAAGACTGGTGAGTGTCTTATCTTGTTTTTACCAGTATATTCATGACCTCAAGAACTATTCATCATGAACAGTTGAGAAAGGAAATAAAACAAGTTGGTGTGCAATTCTGCCATTGGTAAATATGGGCTTATGCTGCACTTCAGCCCCTGTCATGGCTGGCCCTAGGGACAATAATGAAAGGAAATGCTTATGTGGATAGCATTTCAGCATGGCATCTAGTTATGCCTCTTTTATGAAAGAAGAAATGACCAGTTTAAGAATTACACTAAATCATGTAATGCCTATTGGTTTGACTTAGCTGGTAAAGGACTAGAAAGAAACATTAGCAAGATTTGATAGCAAGATGAAGACGTTTGTGGGTGGGTTTCTCAAAATAAGCACTAAGTGTGCAGATATTTATGACTCTAGTGAAAGTATAATTCTACATTGCAGAAAAAACAATCAGTAATCAAATGGAAAATAAAGTTTTTTCTTTATTATTCTGCTTTCTTCATCAGCCTCTTCTGTGCTTATATGATGGACTCATGTTAATATAGTTTGAATTTAAGTATGGGCTCAACAAAATCTCAACAGATAAAGTTCACCCTTATCAAAATCTAATTTATTTTACATTCCTGAATACCAAACTAGAAAAAAAGAAGTTAAGTCTAAGTTCTCAACTCTCTTGTTGCTAAATTGATCATATTGACCTTTTCCCATTGAATATTTTCCATTATAGAACAGGTATCAATTTGTCATCCCCATTATAGACTTTGGTTCTAGCAGGGATTTTTTTTTGTCCTGATGGTAAAAATCCTTCCAGATTTTCATATCCACTGAATACAATGATCACTGTCATGATATATTGTGTGTTATTACAAAGAAAGAATAATTTTAATAGTAAAAAAAAAATATGACAATGAATTCACAGCCCTGGAATTTACTACCCGAGTAACATTTTCTTTTTTTTTTTTTTTTAAGATTTATTTATTTATTTGCAAGTCAGAGTTACACAGAGAGAGGAGAGGTGGAGAGAAAGAGAGAGGCCTTCCACCCGAAGGTTCACTTCCCAATTGAATGCAAAGGCTGGAACTACGTCGATCCAAAGCCAGGAGCCAAGAGCTTATTCCAGGTCTCCCATGTGGGTGCAGTGGCCCAAGGACTTGGGCCATCTTCTACTGCTTTCCCAGGTCAAAGCAGAGAGCTGGATTGGAAGTGGAGCAGCCGGGACTCGAACTAGCGCCCATGTGAGATGCTGGCGCTTCAGGTCAGGGCGTTAATCCTCTGTGCCACAGCGCTGGCCTCTCAGATAACATTTTCAACATGTAGTCATTCAAGCCATGGTTGAAGTGCATAGAAATGGAAAAAACTTCACCAATCTAAAGAAAAAAAAATGATGAAAAGATATTTAAAGTGAACAAAGGCTAAAAAGAGACAATTTGTTTTTCTCCTTTGTAATTTTTTTGCAAGTATTCCTAAAAGTTGTAATACATCCTTTAAAATTTTATTCTCAAATTATCAATGTTACCAAATAGAATTTTCCAAATTATTATTTATTTGGTTTAACTTTAAATGAAATTTTTCTTAAATTAATTTATCAATAAGTTAACCAGGTTTGTGATGGTGGCTACAAGGTGAAAAGCAGAGCACACAGATCTGTAAGTTTAAGTTCTCATAATTACTTATAATAGACATAGTTATATTATGGAATATCTGTCTTATTTTTATAAATCATCTTTTTAGGACTAACTTGGAAAAAAGTGAGATAATTTAAACATTAATCATGCCTTCCAAAACATTTATATGATGCCTACTTGAGAACTAGTGTTTGGCTCAATATTGGATGTACAAGTTAACTTAAACACGACGTTCAAATGTGTTATCTTGACTTTGGATTCTAGTTTCCAACCTTCTCAAATGTACTACACTCACTCTTATTGTCTGTATTTTCTATATCAATAACTATATGGCTCACCATAGCCATAGATGTCACATGAAACATTGACTCCAAAAATCAAAACAAAACATCAAATATAGCTGGTGAGAAAAATCAACATTGGAGGCTGAATTTTAATTACAATTTACTACAACATCTTTGATACTTGCCTTTAAAATATTTGAAACATTTTACTTTGCCTTCTATTTTCTCTATACCCTGTTTATTCTTTCTCATTATACTAATGCAGTCAAATCGTCTTTTTTTCCCTAAGTAGAGTTTTCACTATATTGGAGTTGCATGCCTTTTATATTTTTTCCTGCTCTTTCGCTACATATAAGTGGCATTTGATCTTCTTTGCTATCAAATCTTGACAAGTGATTTATTTTTAAGAACTAGCAGTATACTTTAACTTCTTTTGAAAACTGAGTTTGTTCATTACGCTTGCTAATCAGCTCCACCACATATTCGATGGCCTCAAACCATTATAGTTGTCTCCAAAATATGTAGATCTCAAATTTAAAATTAAAAAAAAAAGTTGAGAAGGGGAAAATAGAGCCTTACCTTTATGATCTCATTATATTCTCTTCCTGGGCACGATGACTGTCAACCTTGCCAATTATACTATTTTTCTTTCTCTCCCTTTCTTTCTGCTGCATATGGTTAAGTAATATACAAAAGCATTCACAATTGACTTTGTTGGTTAATAGCAGCAGATCCATTCCTGAGATATTTCATTTCGCTTCTCTCTCATTTTCTTAGTCAGCAGGCAGTATTTCTTTTCATTGTCACAATTCTACTTTCTATCCTTGATAGATTAAATGTGCTCTTTGTGCCACAGTCTACAACTAATGTGAGGTTCACCTTGGTAGTTTCTCATGCTGTTTTACCCTTTATATCTGTAAAACCCTTTTTGTACCACAACCTTTTGCAGTTCTTTGAAGTCTTCTCATTTTGTACCTCACAAACTCAGGTCATGAAGTTGCTCGGGGAAGGTAGGGAGAGTTTGGTTTGGACCTTTCTTTGAGGATACACGTTTTATCTTTTATTTTTTTTTTTTTCTAGTCCTGCTAATTGGAGATCTAGAGCGAAGCACACACACAAAAAAAGTGGATGTCTGAATTAAAGATTTGCAATGGCCACTAAAATTATTTTATTTACTTAATACATAATCAACGTCTTGTAGTATCTTCTTAAATAGTAATTGTATTTTATGGTTTCAACACTAATAAACTTTTATATTAGTAGTTCATAGGTGATATCAAATTAGGAAAATAAAAATTCACTTTTGTGGAGATTTAACCACTTTGAGGACTGACAATTTACATCAAAATATATAGATTGAGTAAAATGCTGTATTTGGATCCTGGGGTTGCAGCATAGTAGATAAAGCAACTGCCTACAATGTATACATCCTATATGGGCACCACTTTGAAACCCGACTCTTCCACTCCCTTTCCAGCTCCCAGCTAATGGCCTGAGGAAAGCAGTAGAAGATGGCCTGAGTACTTATGCCCTGCTATCTACGTGGAAGACCTGGAAGAATCCCCTGGCTTCAGCCTGGCCCAGCCCTGCTCTTGTGGTCCTCTAGGGAGTTAATCAATGGGTGAAAGATCTCTTTCTCTCTCCTTCTTTCTCTTCTCTGTAAGTCATAACTCTGACTTTCAAGTAAATGAGGAAATATTTATTTATTTATTTATTTTTTAATTTTTTTTTTTACAAATATCGTTTATTTTAATGAAGCTGGTACAGACAATGTCCATTTAAAACCCATATCCCAGGCCAAAAAGTACAAATGAAATCAAAAGGAGCAGTGTTCTGTTGTACACTTCTACATGAGTAATTTTATTAACTGCTTATGAAAATCAGAACTTTTCTGGGATCTTCTGACAAGATTTTTTTTTAATCTTAATTAAAATGCTTTCTCTCCAGTGAAGCCATCTTTGGAGTTAGTCATTTCTCTCACCGAATCTGTCGTCTTGACACCAACCTGATATTCCTCTTCTTTTGGTCCAGACCCTCAGATTTTTAGAAGTAGCTTCGAGTCAAGGAAAGGTCATTTTTCCACAGTTCCGTCCTCTGAAGAACTTCCATCTCCCACTGAAAGTCACGGTCCAGGAGTGAAGCAATCACCTGTTAGGATCTCAGGGCCAATTGGAAAGTCATTCTTAATCATCACCACAAGCCTGAAAACGCACAGTCCTGAAAAAGGTGGCCTCTCTGTGTACACACGGAATCTTAAAAAAGAGAGGGCCCTCTGAAGGGGGCTGAGGCTTGATCACCAAAAATCAGCACAATGAAAACAAGAATGGAGAGCACTAGAATTCAAATTACCAGATGTTTTAAAGAGATGGGGTGCCAGTTTTCAATTCCATTTTTTGAACACCACATTACAAAAGAACTATTTTTAAAAATAAAAAAGGATTAAGGGAAAAGAAAAAAAAAAATAAAGAGTATCTAAACCGTTGAATGACCCCGTTTGTTCCTGATAAACTTCAATCACATCTTCTTCCTCCATTCCCAGTTCTTTTGGAGTATGATTATCAGCAATTCTCTGACCTTCAAAGAGAAACCTGAGTGAATTCATTGGAACGCCCTGTCTTTGACAGTATGATTCTTTGAGTTTCTTGAGATGTGTTGTCATTTTCACTTTGAAATGAATCTCACTGCTATCCTGTCCAATGACTTTGAGTTTAATGTACTCTCCTTCCTTCTTATCCCCCAAGTCCTCAGTTGAAGGTTTTGCCTCCTGGTCAGACATGGTGATGGTGGCTTTCCCCGGGGCTCTCCGCACAGCAGCGGCCTCGGGTAGGCAGAACCTCGCTCCGGGGTTTACAAATCCTTTTCCCTTGCCCACAGCACAACACCGAGGAAATATTTATTTTAAAAAAGAAATACCACATGTATATTTTATTTGTAAGATACTAACGTATCAAATAATTGAGAGATACCATGATATCTATACACATTTAAAATACATCTTACAGTATTTGATGATAAATACTGATATAAATACAAGTGTCTTCACAAAATTTATACTTTGTGAATATGAAGAAGTTATGCATGGATGTGTCAAAAAAATTTGGACTAAAATACTATATATATATATTTTTTTGACAGGCAGAGTGGATAGTGGGAGAGAGACAGAGAGAAAGGTCTTCCTTTTTGCCATTGGTTCACCCTCCAATGGCCGCCACGGCTGGCGTGCTGCGGCCGGCGCACCACGCTGATCCGATGGCAGGAACCAGGTGCTTCTCCTGGTCTCCCATGGGGTGCAGGACCCAAACACTTGGGCCATCCTCCACTGCCTTCCTGGGCCACAGCGGAGAGCTGGCCTGGAAGAGGGGCAACTGGAAAAGAATCCGGCGCCCCGACTAGGACTAGAACCAAGTATGCCGGCGCCACTAGGTGGAGGATTAGCCTATTGAGCTGCAGCGCCAGCCTAAAATACTATATTTTAATTTCATTTTCCAGAAAGTTTTTGAAATATATAAATAGTCTTGATATTTCTACAAGTTCAATTGAACTTTGTGCTTCTGTAGAAAATTTGAATGTTGGAATATAGCTAAATGTGAAGATAACATTTTGCAGTTATGACTTCTATGTTCATCCTTATAATAATTATATGCTACTACCTTTTTTCAATGCTATTGTATAATTTATATGTTGACCTATATACAAGATAAATACATATGATACATTCTAGCAATAAATTTTTGGCTATCCCAGCCACTCATTTTCTTTTTCATTTTAAAAGAATGAAATACAACCTTGCAATGTTTTTGTTTTTTGAAATTATTTTCTCTGCATGGAAGTATATTACCTTCTAACATCTACCACCACTCCCCAATATTCAAAGATAGTTAAACACTCTTCTACACTGCATTTATATCCTCAAGTGCATATTTCATGCCTTAAACTAGGCATTTAAAATAATTTTTTACCTTTTATAGGCTCAATGAAAACTCTTGATTCTCCCCTACCAAGTAATCCCCATTTGTTGTCCTTACATAAATAATTGTCATCACTATATTTTAAGTTGCTGAGAACATTCTATAACTTCTACTTCTAGTCATATAAAATCCATATTGGTTCTACTACAGTTTTTCAATGTGATGTATCACATTTCTTGATTTGCATTTGTTGAAACAACCCAGGATAATAGGGATAAATCCCACTTGTTCCTGGTAAATAATCTTTCTAGTATGTTGATAAATTTGATAAGGTAGTATTTTGTTGAGGATTTTTGCTCTATGTTTATCAGGGGTATACGTCTGTAATCTGCTTTTTTTGCTGTATTTTTTTTGCCAGGATTGTGGGAGGGTTGGAATTAAGGAGACACTTGTCTCTTAGAAGGAGTTTGGGAGTATTGCTTCACTTTCCATTTTTTTTTTTTTTTAATAATTTGAGATGAACTGGAATCAGTTCTTCTTTAGAACTTTGGTAGAGTTAAGCAGTGAAGATAACAGGTCCTGGGCTTTTCTAACTACTGACTTAATCTCCAACTTGGTTATTGGTCTGTCAGGTGTTGTATGTCTTCATGGTTCAATTTTGTTAGATTGTATTTGTGCAGAAATCTATCCATTTCTTTGAGACTTTCCAATTGTTGGCATATGGATGTTTGTAGTAATTCCTGATAACTCCTTTAATTTCTGTGGTACCCATTGTAACATATCCTTTTTCATGTATTATTTTATGGTTAGTTTGGCCAATGGTGTATCATTTTTAAATTTTTTTTTTAAAGTAAGTTCATCATTTCACTGATCTTTTGTGTTCTTTGTTTTGATTTTGTTTATTTCTTCTCTTTTTTCCTCTTTTTCATGGTGTAATGGATTTTTTTTAAACTTTTGTTTAATGAATATAAATTTCCAAAGTACAGCTTATGGATTACAATGCCCCCCCATAACTTCCCTCCCACCCGCAACCCTCCCCTTTCCGTCTCCCTCCCCCCTTCCATTCACATCAAGATTCATTTTCAATTCTTTTTATATACAGAAGATCAGTTTAAAGATTTACTTATTTATTTGAGAGGCAGAATTACAGACACACACACAGAGTAGTCCTCTATCCACTGGTTCACTCTCCAAAAGGCTGCAATGCCTGGAGGTGGGCCGATTCAAAGCCAGGTACAAGGAACCTCCTCTGGATCTCCCACAAGGGTCAAGCACCTAGGCCATCTCCAGTTCTTTCACAGGCCACCAGCTGAGAGCTGTATAGGAGAAGGAATATCCGGATACTAATCAGCACCCATAAGGGATGCTGGTGCCACAGTATGCTTAACCTACTTCATCACAGTGCTGACCCGTTTCTGTAGTATTAATTACTTCTTCCCTCCTGCTAATTCTGGGTTTGGCTTGTTGTTGTGATTCTATATCTTTGAGATGCATTAATAGCTCATTTACTTAACGTCTCTCCATTTTTTTTTTGATATAAGCATCAGTTGCTTTAAAGTTCCCTCTAAATACTTGTTTACTGTATCCCATAAGTTTTTATATATTGTATTTCATCCTTCATTTGTTTCCAAGATTTTTTTTATTTTTCTTTTCATTTCTTCTACGACCCACTGTTCACTCAGGAGCATGTTGTTCAGGCTCCACGTGTTTGCATGTATTCTAGAGATTCTTGAGTTGTTAATTTCCAGCTTCATTCCATTGTGGTCAGAAATGGTATGATTTCAATTTTTTTGAAATTTCTGGAACTTGCTTCATGGCCTACTGTGTGGTCTATCCTAGAGGAATTTCCATGCACTGATGAAAAGAATATGCATTCTTCAATTGCGGGGTGAAATGTTCTATAGATATTAGGTCCATTTGGTCCATAGTATAGATTAGTTTTGTTATTTGTTGATTTTCTATTTTGTTGATCTCTCCATTGATGAAAATGAGATTTTGAAGTCCTCCACTACTGTTGTGTTGTAATCTGTGCCTTTCTATCCATTTGGTATTTGTTTTGAATTGTCAGATACCCTGGTATTGGTTGCATATACCTTTATTATAATGACACCTTCCTGTTGAATTTGTCTCTTAATCATTACATAGTGCCCTTTTTTGTCTCTTTTAATAGTTTTTGTTATACTTCTATTTTTCTGCTATTAGGACAGCTATATCTGCTGTTTTTTGCTGTTAGCATGGAATAACTTTTGTTATCCTTTCGCTTTCAGTCGTTGTGTTTTTTCGGTGAGGTATGGTTCTTGTAGTAAGAATACAGATGGGTCTTGTTTATGGAACCAATAAGCTAGTCTGTATCTCTTAATTGGTGAATTTAGGCCATTTACATTCAAGGATATTATTGATAATTAATAACTTAGCCCCCCTATTTTCCCATAAATATTTCTATCATTTACATTGGATTCCCTTTATACTTTTAATAGGAGATTTTTTGCCTTCACATTCTTTCATGACAATGATTATCTTTCTTTGTTTCTGGTGTAGCACATCCTTAAACATTTTGTGTTAGCACTAGGCAAACAAATCCTTCCAATTTCTATTTGTTATGGAGAGTCTTTCTTTCATCTTCATTCATAAATGAGACTTTTGCAGGATATGGTATTCTGGGTTGACTGTTTTTTCCCTTATGACTTGGATTATGTCTCTCCATTTTCCTAGCTTGTAGCAATTCTGATAAGAAATCAGCTGTGTGTAGGATTGGAGATCCTCTGAAGCTAATGTGGTGTTTCTCTCATGAACACCTTAGCATCTTTTCTTTAGGTTTTACTGTTGAAAGTTTGAATCTAACGTGCCGTGGTGAAGATATTTTATGGTCATGTCTATTAAAACTTCTGCGCGTGCCTTACGCTTAGATGTCTCTTTCTTTCTTCAAATTATGGAAGTTTTCTCTTATTCTTACACTTGACCTCTAATCTATTGTTTCTTTCCACATCTTCATGAATTCCTAAGGCACTTATGTTAAGTAATTTTCTGGTGTCACATAAATCTTGAGCACAGTTTTTTAAGTTTTTCTCATTTTTTTTTCCTTTTTTTGTTTGTTACTGAGCTATTTCGAAAGATTTTTCTTCTTTGTCAGATGTCCTTCCTTCTGCCTCACCACGTCTGTTGTTAAGGTTTTCCACTGTATTTTTGATTTGACATATTGAATTATTGATTTCTATTATTTCAGTTTAATCTCTCTTCAATATCTCTACCTAACATGAAAATTTTTCATCCATGTTGTGTGTGAATTTCTTCAACTCATTAATTTACTTCTCATTGCTTTTGTGTAATCTTATGATCATTCTTTTGAATTCCTTTTCAAGAATTTCATTAACCTCTACATCTTCACATTCTTTTTTTTAAAGATTTATTTATTTGAAAGTCAGAGTTACACAGAGATAGGAGAGGCAGAGAGAGAGAGAGGTTTTCTATCCAATGGTTCACCCCCAATTGGCTGCAACGGCCGGAGCTACGCCAGTCCAAAGCCAGGAGCCAGGAGCTTCCTCCTATCTCCCACACAGGTCCAGGGGCCCAAGGACTTGGGCCATCCTCCATTGCCCTCCCAAGCCATAGCAGAGAGCTGGATCGGAAGAGGAGCAGCCGGGACCAGAACCAGCGCCCACATGGGGTGCCGGCGCTTCAGGACAGGGCATCAACCTGCCGAGCCACAGCTCTGGCCCCCATCTTCACATTCTAATATTGAAGTACTGTTATGTTCCTTGTGGGGAGTCAGATTATCTTCCTTCTTCATGTTTCTCATGATTCTGTGTTTATTTTTAGACATTTGGGAAATGATTTTGGGTTTTCTCTTCTAATGACTTTTATCTTTGAAATATGCTTTTGTGGCTTATTGGACTGTGTCTTCCTTTAGTGGAAAGTTGAAAACTTGTACTGGAGGGTACCAGGAAGCTGGACTCAGTGCTTGAATGTGGTGCAA